GACCTCATTCTCCTATTTACCAATCATGTATGAGCTAATTAGAATTAAAGAAATGTGAGAGAACAGACTGTATGGTTGCATCATCATCATTATAAAAATAAATGTAAGCCTTATTGCCTGTGGAAAAACTACTTTCCATCAACGATAAGGCATGTTCTAATAGCAGTCCCCAAACTTTTTGGCACCAGGGACAGTTTTCATGGAAGACAATTTTTACTGGACCGGGGGTTAGGGGAGGTGTAGGGAGGTGTGGGGGGGATGCTTTCAGGATGATTCAAGCACATTACATTTATTGTGCACTTTTTTTCTATTACTATTCAATTGTAATATATAATGAAATAATTATACAACTCACCATAGGTTGGGGACCCCTGTTCTAAAAGACAAAGTGTTATAGAGTTGAATGACTATCTAGTGAAACTGAGTGGTAAGAATGCAAAAAAACTCTGTCAAAACTGCTTTTATAGGATACATTGTATCTCTCACATTTCAGGAAGGCTTTGGAGGAAAAATGAACCCAGACTGGTGGGCAGCAGTGGAACCAGATCACCCCTCTCTCTGGGGCTTTCCCAGTGATTGCATAGTGCCCTGTGATTTTAGGGTAAAGACTATCTGTTCTTTTCCGTGACTTATGGAAACCAGGCACTTTGCTCCAAAGAAAAGAGTGGTGACATTTTTAAAACTTTGGCTCACCCCCAAGAGGCAATTGCAGCAGAACTTTGGCCACTGTTGGATTGTTTCCACCTCTCTCCCACTTAATTGACATATGAGTGATACTTAGATCTGCTTTCACAGTCTAGTGAATCTGAATCCCAAGACATCTCCTTCCTGGTCTTGTAGGTAAAAGGGAATAGAAAGATGGAGGGCAAGGGATTTTGGGTTCTGAGATAATACATGCGAATACACACACACGTACACTCGTGCACACACTATGCGTATGTGTGGTCTTGTTAATTGCAGTGTGGGGAATGACTGTATGCAGCCACAGCTGAATTGCTTGGGCAATAAAAGAAAGATTGTTCTCCCTTCCTCACATGCAGTACTCAGCCTTCCCTGTAAGTATATTTTGAACAAATATTTGAAGGATATTAGTTCGAAAGGGAACAAATTATTAGCCTTTCTGGAATATAAGTATATTTCAGTCCAATGTTGTTTGAGAAATTTGACACCAACCTCCACCTTACTTCCAGCAAGTTCGAACTCCACTTCACGTCCTGGCACCCGTCCTGTCCTCAGGAACGTTCATGGAGCTAGTTTGTTACTCTCAGTAACTACTCGCATTGACCTGTCTGCTGCTTCTGGATGCTTCTGCTCTGGCCTGGGGCTCCCATTTCAATAATTATTCTTTGACCACAGATCTATGATTAGCCCCTCCAATCATGCTCATTCCACTTTCCTTCTCTCCATCTGGGGCATGGTTCTCACTGGGCTCTGTCTTCACTGGTGTCTCCTATGTGATACCATATCAGGTGGGCACTGCTGGCTGTCTAATCTGAATACCAACGTCTTACCCATTTCACTCTTCTCCTGGGTTTTCCACCTGCTACCTTTTGTTGGACATTGTGGGCACTGACCACCTGCTTCTGCCCTGTCCCCTCTCTCCAGAAATCCTGGTGCCTCTCTGGTCCTTCTGCATCCTGCTGCCCTTGGATGGGCTCATTCCTCAGAGCCTCATCCCTATAGACTTTCTAGTTCATGCCCCATCACAATCGTTCCACTGAACTACTTTCCTTGCTGTCCCCCCAAATGTAACCTATTCTTTCTTCTCCTTCTATCCTCTGTATTTGTTGTTCTTTTTGCTTAGGATGTGATCGCCACTCTTTGCCAGGCTAACTCCCTCTCCTCTTTCAGAGCTCAGCACCATGCCACTTCCTCAAAGAAGCTTTCCTTGATCCCCAGGGCTGGGGTAGGTTAGCTTCCTATGTGCTCTCAAAGCTCCTTCCCTTACACCTAGCACACACTTACTGCACTGGGTTATTGCTGCCTTTTCATTTAACTGTTTCCCCCACTGGAAGTGAGCACCTTGTGGAAAGAAATTAATCTTGTGATAATCATATCCTCAGCATCTAGCACATTGCGTGGCACATAGAAAACTCTCCATACATTCTTGTGTGATGAAATACAACAAGGAATATTAATAAAAATAGGTAATACTTCTAATGCAATCCTGTGAAGCAGGTATATTATCATCATTTACCTTTTACGGATGAGGAAACTGAGCACAGAGAAATTAAGTGACTTTTACAAGGTTATGTAGCCAACAAATACAGATGTGAGTTTCAAATCTAAGCAGTGTGTCTCCAGAGCCTGTATGCCTACTTGCTACTCTATAATCTGTGCCTCTGGCTTTTGAGTTAGGATAGAACCATAGCAATCATAAAGTGTTATTGCCATTAGTTCAAAACAACCTTAAACTTATAAGCCACATACTGGGTGAGAAAATATGTTTTATATTCAGACTTTTTTTTTTTTTTTGTAAATGAAAGACTTTAATATCGCAAAGAAATGCACATTCTAATATATGAAATGCACATTCTAATATATGAAAACACATTTTACTATTACTATTTTACTGTATAACATATTAGTGAATACACCAGATTACATTTTCTCAAATGGCAAATGAGGCACATTTCTCTCTGATTCCCTGGAGAACCTCAATATTATCTGTCCTTTGGAGGATTCAGTTGCTTACGACGAGTGTGATACTGTCCACGAGGATACCAACGGTGCTTAGTAGTAAAGAACATTTTGCTAAGTTGTTCTGTCATGGGTCCTTGCTCAAGGTTTTCACTTTTTTCTACTAATCTGGTTTTCAGCACGTGATCATGTGTTTCTTCATTATCATGCACAGGATCTGGTCGAGGGATAGGTTTTGTGTGTTCATATGGAATGTCCACAGAAGGGTGGTAGCATACTATCGTCCTGCCATCAGATGTCAAAGCAAGCTCGACTTTGCAATTATAGTCATCTGGTAGAGAAGAATATGTAGATTTACGACAAGCACAATATAAAGCTCCATTTTGGATTGGAAATAAATGTTTCAAGATAGTTCTCTTTGATATCACCCATTTTACTGCTGCTACAGCCATGGTGTTCAAGATGCTTATCAGGTGGTATGAAAAAAGATGTTTTGAAGAAGAACTGCTTTAAAATCTGCTTCTAGGCACACCAATTTTCATCCCTTGACAGCTCTTCACCGTGAGCCCGCCATCTTGTTTCAATCCGGGTCCTATGAGACACGGCCTATTCAGACTTTTTTAATCCTGAGTGCTCATATTTTATGTCTAGGCCTAGATGGCAGGATGCTGAGGGCCAGGGTAGAGAGTAAGAAAGAAAATAAGTAGGGCCAGAGGGAAAATACCAAAAATCACATCCAAAGGGTAAAGCTGAGATCAAGTCCTCAAAATGTGCTCAAAATGGGACATATAGCAAGGGTGGGGGTCAGAATGTGAGGGGGCAAGAGCAATAAACAGCAGTTTGGAGGGGCAAAGAGGCTGAAGTGTAGATGCCACCAGCATGTTTTTGCTGTTAAGCAGCAATAGGAGATAATTTTGTGTCTGATTAATTTGGTTATAGTGAGCATTGATTGAGCCAGTATTGACAATTATCAACTCCTCTTCACTTAGCTGCACATAATAACCTTGGACTAATAACTTGATGATCAATGGCAGCCTTTTTACTTGGGGATTTATGCTAAAATACAGCACTGAATGAAACAGACATGGGCTGCACACTTATGATATTACAATCTGGTGACCTAATCTGGTCTAAGTGGGTCAAGGAAGGTTTCCTTGATGAAGAGTCAGTTTATGGAAGACTTCAATGAGAGGGAGTTGGCTGGCATCCAGGCAAGTGGATTAAAAATGGGAGCTGGAAGAGTGTATTGGACATTTGTCCTGCGGTGGCTGTTTATCATCTTCCAAATGATTGCCTCACATTTCCAGTCCCACTGCCCAAAAGAAATTAGCCTCCAATTCCCAGCCTCCATTGTAGCTAAATTGCAGACGTGCGATCTAGCTCTGCCAATGCAACGCACTAATGTGATTTACACGTGAACACAAGTAAGCGGTCTTCATGCAGAGCTTCTGTTTTTTTTATTCTTTTTTTATTTTTTTCAATTGTGTAGGCAAATTCCTCTAACTTTTGGAGACAACAGTCATTGTTAGGTCAAGATCCTGACCTTTTGCTGCTGTGGCTAAACTGTGGGTGTTGTCCTCCTAGAGGTTCATAGTCTGTTTCTAGCACCTCCTGACAATTCTTTAAAACACCACGAATCCTTTCATAAATTCCCACAAATAAGGCATCACAACAAGGAGGTGTGAAAAGGGCCCATGACTCTGATCCACTGGTCTTACTACCTGCTTCACCATCCGGAAGCTGGCATCAATGTGAGTTTTCCCCATCAGCATCTAGATGTTACCTGGATACTTCAGCAAGGCAGCCTTTGACTCACTCTCAGGTGAAACAAAGACAGTCTGACCTCGTTAGGGAGAGTTTCTGAAGACCAACGTGGGCCCCAGTGGATCTGAATGCAAATAGGTAAAAAATCAAAGTGGCTTTTGACCAATACTTAATGATTCTCATTCTAAAATTTCATGGGGATAGTCTCAAGGTCCACAAGCAGTTCCAAAGATAGTAGAAGATATTTCTGAAAACCTTACTCACGTTTGGCAATGTTGCCTCTGATGCTGTGGTTAACGTGGGTCGTCCTTAGCAACAAATAACGTCTGAGATATACTGAGCACTTAGTCTATGCCAGATCTTATCAGGTGCCATCCCATGTGATCCTACTACAATGCTTGAGGGCGGGTACTTTAAATATCCCCAATTTACAAATGAGGAAACTGAGGCAGCAGAACTTAAACAACTGAATTAAGTACATGACCCAGCATTTGAACCCAGGACATTTAACTTCAAAGCCCACATGCTTAACAGACTCTGCTGTGAATGTAGGGCACAGGCAATGTCCTTGTGGGAATGCTATTGCATTTACCCAAGAGGAATTTTTCCCAGTATTTTTTATGATCAAAATAAGATTGCAGTTTAAAGCATCCTACTCTAAATAACTTGTATGACTTGTGAACCAAGGAATATTGTGATTCTTGGCTTGAACTCCCATAAATAGGCGAGTAACTCAATCTTTATAAAATGGAATGCTATTAAGTTCTTTAGTTGACAAGACATTGTGACCCAAGTGCTATGTCCCAATAAAAAATGAACTTTTACAATAAATAAATACATAGATAAATAAGTAGATAAACTTGCCTTCTTATTAGTGAAATTGAGGTTGCCAACCAGGGTAAAGGTGACCTGGGAATCAGGCTAATCCAAGCAGCCACAGAAAATCAAAAGGCAGCTATTAGCAAGTATCTCTGTCCGTGTGTGAAAGCCAGATATGAGATTTGGAATTCATCACAGAAATTCTCTGAAATTAGAGCGGTTATGAATAAAGGGCATTAAAAGACTCCATCACTGTTTGGTGAGTGGTTGACTTTTTAGTAGTTAGTGAGGTCTAAGGACCTTCCTTGTTTCATCTTAAGCTGGTCTTTTCTCTTTTTATTTGTATTTCTCAGAGATGAGGGTCTGGCTATGTTGCCCGGGCTGGACTCGAGCTCCTGCACTCAAGTGATCCTCCCACCTCAGTTTCCCAAGGACCTGAAACTACAGATGCACACCACTGTACCTAGCATCAAGAAAAGTTTGATGGCAACAGGGTCACCTTCTCTGCAGCCACCATGATTGCCAATAGACTATTCTTTATGCTGTGCCTCAGACCAAGAAGAATATGAGGCTACTGAGAGATGAAAGAGGAAGAGGAGCTCTCCCCACAAGACCCTTTGTGAGCCATTCTCCAGGCCCACCCCCAGGAAAAGGTCTCATTTTGACTTTTTCTGTCTCCCTGCCGTTTTGCTGTTACTCCCCATCCAAACTGCCTCGGACCTTTCGGAGCTACTATCTTATCCCCACCTCTGTCTGGCTCAAACAGGGCGTAACTAAAAGCAGCACACCTGCCACGATAACTTGTGCTTCTTGGAACCTTAGGATTCACTTGTTTTATGTAGATTTTTTTTTTCCAGACAAAAGACCCACTGTCCCCTGCAATCTTTCTTCTCTAAACCACCATTGTGCCTTGTCTGTCCTTTGCAGTCAGACTCATCCTCCACACCTCTGCACCACCCCCTCACCTCCTGCAAAGCCTCTGCGCCACGGCCTCAGCCTCTGGGGCCTCCTGCCACAGGCTCTGCTCCCTCCAGCACTACCTAGGCTCTCTGCAGTGTGCTGTCAGCCTCTGCCTCTCCTGAAGTTAAGTGGTCTCTCAGAGGTGTGATCTGAGCCAGCTGGTCCAATGGGTTTTTCTCCATCATCACCCTCATTCCTCTTTCATTTGCTGCCCTTGGCCACCTCTCTTTTATGGAACTCCTCTCCCTTGGCTTCTGTGTCATGTCCTTGTGATCCTCTCCCTGTGTCTGACTTCCTTGGCTCTCTTCTCCTTTTCTTGTTTCCCTAAACATCAGCTCCTCCAGCCTCTTCCTCTTCTTGCTCAGTGTTTTCTCTTAGCAGCCTCACCCATGGTCAAGACTTAACCGTCCTTTTTATGTGATTTCCGATCTGATTTTTTCATAAATTTCTATTCACATTTCTACCTACCCACTGATTTCTATGTGGAAATTCTTATCAATTCTCCAAGCTAGATATGGTCATGCCTATGACTCTTCTCTGGTGCAAACTCCCCGATTCTAAGCAGGAAATTTAGAAATCTGATTTCATTTTGTTTAAAAGCAAAAATCCTATCTTTATCACTTTGCTCCTTTAGTATCACTTCTTTTTTTATTTCCAAATATTAGGGGGTACAAATGTTTTTGTTACATGGATATGCTGTGTAATGCTGAAGTCAGGGCTTTCAGTGTGCCCATCACCTGGACAGTGTTCATCGTACCTGATAGGTAAGCTTTTATCCCTACCTCCCTCCCCTCCCCCTTCTTGGTTTCCAACGTCCTTTACATCTTTTTGTGCCCTTGTGTATCCATCATTCAGCTCCCACTTATTAGTGAGAACATGTGGTGTTTGTTTTTCCATTCCTAAGCTCTCCTTTTGTATCACTTCTCATATGCCCTTTCACCCTTTTCAAATTGTCATTTAAGGTCTAGTTTATATTCTGTATTCTCCTCAAGGGCTTCCTTGACCCCAGCTGCACTGTAAATTCTATGCTATAAATTCCTAAGAGCAGATGCTAGAGGTTAGACAACACTGTATTTCTCATTGTGTTCCTCTCCGTGCCCCCCAGTACCAACACTTAGTAAGCTTTCAAAAATGTTTCTTGAACATATGAAGGAACAAATGATTGAAGGAAGGACTTCAAATATTTTTGAGAGATAGAGAAGAGAATGTAATCTTGGCACACTTCTTGGTTCTGCTGAATAATATTTACATAGTCAGGATATGTAAATGTACTTCTTGATTTTCAACCTTTAGAACTAGCCTGTAGGGAAAAAAGCAAAAGATTTACATGAGCATATGGCAGATTGTAAATATTATCTAGCTTGACACTGTAAACACTCGGTTGACAGAAGATGGAGGTGGGAGTGAGGAGGGCAGACAGAAGGACATTCGGGGACACTAAGACCAGAAAAGCTTAGAAATGGCTGCTTCTGAGAAGTGTGACCAGAATAGGAAGGGTGGGGAGTGGTTCTGTGGCTTTTCGTTACAATTTTTATACTATTTGATTTTTTGCCATTTGCGTATATTATTGTAATTTCTTAAAGGTGGATACAGTCATACACATATTCACATTTACATGCACACAAAATGCTTCAAGCAGAGGCAAGAATTGTTTGACTCCCTGGCAGTACCCAATATGGCACTTTTTTGATAATGTACACACATCAAGAAAACTGTTAAATAAATAATGTTGCCACTCTCAGTTGTATTTGAGTAAGGTTTAGTAGTGATTTGACACTGTTATCTTCCAAAACAGTAAGATTGCCTTATTATTAACATAGTAGCTGAGCTAAAAGTTATTTAACTCATGCCAAATACGTCAAACTTACGTGTCTTTGTGTTTTCCCTTACATTGGCAAACAAGTGTTTCCTTATTCTCTAAAAGTAACACTCAAGATTTTGAGCACTTCAAGGAAAATAAATGTACATTGAAAAAGACAGTTTTCTGAGTAAAGAAAAGATGACAGTGATAAATCTCAGGTTTACTTTGCTACCTTTTGTGTGCATCAGGTT